TGTGGCTTCCTCTATTCCCCTTCTTTCTCACATACCATGCTCTAACTGTAATTAGCTACTACACATCTTCCAATTGTACCAAAACATCAAGTTTTAGTTCAAAGTATTTTGCACAAAGTAAATGTTCAATCAAATCTATTAAATCTCTCTGTAGCATTATTATCCTTCATCAGCCTTGAAACTTTCCTCCTTGACTCCTCTCAAGGGCACTTTCCTGGTTTTTCTCCTGCTGCTTTGACTACCTCTTCTTCATTGGCTACTTCTTCTATAATCATTCTACAAATACTGCTAATGTGTTATGGTGACAGGCACTAGATATACTGTGGTGAACAGTAGACTAGGTCCCATACCCCGAAGCTCAGTCTTCGTTAACCTGTCTCCATGTAGCTCACTTTCAGTTTGTCTATTTCTAGCTACTTGTTGAATATTTCTCCCTGCACATACTCCCATCCTTATGTCTTAATTTATTGTTTCCCTCCTTAGATCTCTCTCTGGCCTCCACATTGGGTTTCAATCTCCCTTGCATTGGTGCCACTTCCCAACCTGTATTAGAATCTACTTGAGGTAGTTTTCTAACTGCTGCTCCAGACTTTAGTCCATCCAAGTGGCCATTCATCCTGTGCCTTGCAGCCTAACTCATTATTTTACAGATTATTGCCAGATTTGCCTTTGAATGGATGCAAGGGAGAAGGGGTAGAGGGAAACTTAAGGCCTAATTTTTATCAGGCTTTTGAACCACCTCACCCAACAAATTTTAGAGACTCCTTGAAAACCATTTGGCCTGGGTTTGAGGGTTCAATTTAATTATCCACTCCCACCCTACTCTACAAAAACATGATTTGTGCTCATTACCTGCAGAGGACAATGAACCCATTTCTGGGTCTTCACTAGGTCCTCCCTTTCTTGGCCTGGTCCTGCACTGCAATGGTCTTCTTTTGGCTTGTCATTTAGTACACACTGGCTTGTTCTCTAACTTTTGAATGTCTGTCCTTGAGTGTCTCTGGACAGAAACGGCCCTTTGGTTTTTTGCAATCTGAAGTATATTGAAGTTTACTGTGTTGTAAGCAGTTGTTGTGCTTTACATACATGCTCTCGATTTTTTCCCATAAACCGAAGAGATGTGTCCTTTTAACACCTCTATTTTATATAGAGGTTAACTGATTTGCCCAAGGCCACAAGAGGCAGAACTCAAATTTGAACTCTGGGTTAACTCCAGAATGTGGGTTCCCTTCAGTGACTGCCTGCCTGCCTGACTCCACAGTAGGTATAAAGTGCATGGTAGGCCCCAATCTTCCCTCCAGGGACTCTTGAAACCAGGTCTATACCTTAGAAAAAAGAGCAGATATCCTGTAGAGAATAAGCCTCAACAAATATTTATTGTGTGGAATACTCCCCTCCCACAGGAATTTCTCTTTGCTGTTAGTGATCTCCCACAGTGCCTGGGGTTTGAACTAAGCACTCTGACACCTAATCGTTCACTGTTTTATATTGCCATTTCTAGTGTGTCTTTGCCTAATGGTATAAAATTTTTCTTCTCATAAGGTCCAGCCTAATCCTACTGGCTGGTATGGACATAAGGCTACTAGGCCTTCACAGCAAGATCTTCCTAATCCACCGGTGAAGAGAATCAGTGGCACTTAAATCTGAGAACCTTTCAGGGTTTTGTTAAAAATGCAGTCTTCTGATTATATTTGGGGGGGTTGGGTGGGACCCAGGAATCTGCATTTTTAACACCATTCCTAGGCTATTGTCAGTGGATCCATCTACAATCTTGCCTGTGAGGGCTTCCCCATTTAGGCAGGATTATTTCCTGGTATGATTTCTCCAACATTGCACACAGCTGAAGAGTTAGAAGCTGGGCCTCTTTTGTTTCTGGATACGCCACTTGGCAGGTGTAATAACATCCTGACAGGCTGCTTGCCACAGGTGCATGCTCCACACGTGCACCCCGCTGATACCATCCCCCATTATGTCTTGGTGCCCAAAACCCCTCTGTCCCTACCACCACCCCTGCCCTCTTCCAAATCCTCAAACCCACCCTTGCCCCTTTCCCTCCCGCCCAAGCCCCTCCCTTCAGCCCCAGCCCAGCCCAGCCCAGCCCAGCCCAGCCCTTTTCCCTCCCCCACCTCTTCTCTGGGTTCCCCCCAGGCTCCTCCCACCTCAGAACATTTTTTTGTTCCTGGCTTAGAGTTTTCCCAGTGAGATTGGGGTGGGGGGTGGGGCTGGCAAGAGGGGAGGACACACTGCCATTCATCAGAGTTTCTAGAAATGGCCATACTTTCCAAGAGAAAGCCCTGAGAAATGGGCAGAGGCCGCTCTCTCTGGAACTTGGCTGGAGGGATGTCACTCTCCGGGAGAGTCCCTCTGTCTCTGAAAATACCCGAAAGCAGGCCCAGCCTGCCATGTTCCTTTGTTGGGACAGAAAGGGAATGGAATCTCACCAATAGGTGAAAAGGGCTAGAGAGAACACCAAGGATGGGCCCACCCTTCTTACAAAGGCCTAACGCTAAAAGGGAAGAGGAAAAAAAAGGCACCAACAAAGAGTTTAAGATAGTAGTTCCCAGCTTTTTCAAATATGAAGCATTTTTTAACCAATCCATTTTTTAATTTTTAAATTCTTGACATTACAGAACTAAACTGAAATTTATTAACATTCCACTCTTACATTTCTTATCGACAAACAGAAATAAAATTCATGAGCCAAAAACCCAAAACAAAACTAAAAACAGGGAAAAGCTTATAAAACTAAATATGGATCCCAGCATTAACAGCTGAACAGAGAATGTGATTTTTAAATTCTTAGCGGATGATAAAGTTGTGTAGAAACTGAACACTTACAAATTATTTAAAACCTGGAATCACTGACCAGAAATTACACAGTTGGATCATGGGAAAACAGCAGAAAGGGGTTATAAGTGAACCTACACTGTTCTAGCTGCACCCCATACCCTTCTCAGAGGAAAGCCTGGCATTGATTAGATATTGGGCCAGACTAATACTGGCAGCAGAACCAGTGATAGTAACCTGCCTACCAGAAGAGCCTTCCACTGGATTGGCAATTTTGATCTGGGCCCCGGACATCTGGCGGATCTCATTAATGTTGGCGCCTTGGCGCCCGATTATGCAGCCAATTAAGTTATTTGGAATGGTGAGTTCATGGGTCGTTTGAGTAGATGCATCCAAACTTGCCCAATAGCCTTTCACCTCTGGAGAGCTGGAGTCAATTCCGGCGAATCCGGTCCCGCCGTGCATCATGGCAAAGTGAGACTGTTGTCTTGCCACCTGGTTCAGCTTGGCCAGATCGAGCGGAGAAATGGTGTGTTGTCCTTGAATCGAGTAGGCATCTAGAGGTGGTCCCTCCAGGTCATGGGTGGCATGGGGGTAGCCCGCAGCGTCGCTGCACCGATCTTGGCCGCCCGCACAGATGACTGGAGAGCTGGCCGGCATGGGCTGGTACGGAATGGTCATGACTCTCCCTTGCGGAGACTGGGAGAGCGTCTCCAGCATGACCAGGCAGATCTGCTTGACACACTCGGTGACAGACTGCGGCACGCCAGCAATGGTGATGGCCCGCTCGGTGGAGTTGGGCAGCATATCCCCCGCCACCTGGACCTGGGCCCCCGTACTCTCGCGGATCTCTTTGATCTTACACCCGCCTTTCCCAATCAGGGAGCCGCACTGGGTGGCCGGCACCACCAGCCTCAGGGTGACCGGGGGCCTGCTGGCCGCCGTGCTGTTGGTCATGGAACTGTTAATATCTTCTTCCAGCTTGTCGATGATCATAGCGAAGGCCTTAAAGATGGCATTGGTAGGGCCGGTCAGAGTGATGATTCTCTCCGGACAATTCCCCTCCGAGATGTTGATCCGCGCGCCACTCTCCTCGCGGATCCTCTTAACCGACTCCCCTTTCTTCCCAATGATGCTTCCTACTTCCTTTCCGTGCATAAGCAGCCGAATGGTGAGAGTCACATTTAGTCCACTTTCAGTCACACCGGCATCCATGGCGAGCGGCGGGCGGCGTTCGGGGGAGTTGGGCTCGTTACGTGGTCAAGTCTTTGGTGGCTGGCGGGGGGAGGGGAGATGTAGGCCCAAAACTGCCGGCGCGAGGCGAGCGAGGGCCGCGGGAGCGAGCGGGCGCGGGCGGGAGGCCGCGGCGTCGTCGCAGGGGCGGGCGGCGGCGGCGGAGGGGGCGAGCGGGGCCGGGAGCGGCGGGCGGGCGGGTGGGCGAGGGCGCGGCGGTGGCGACTCCGGCGGCAGCCTCGGCGGTCTGGGCGGGGCGGGAAGCCCGCTTTCAACCCCGCGTACCCTCTGACCCCGGAAGTGCTTGCCGCTCAGGACCCCTTGAAAAAAACCGAGGACCCATCTTTTTTAGGTCACAAGATTGCGCCAACCTCCGCATGGTAGTTTTAAAAAACTCTTTTAACAGCCTAGCATTGAAAATAAAGCCCCGATAGGCAGAAGCTCTGAGCCCGGCAAAGTTTTAAAACCAACATGCATTTTAATAACTCCAGCGGCACCGGCAGATGTTTGGGAATGTTAGTGTTGTGAGTGGGGGCGACATATTATTTTCCCGCCTTACAAAAGGGGCTTGGATACGGAGCGACACGGACAGCCCCGGCGGTAACTGCAGGCGGCAGCTGGGACGCCGCCGGTTTAAAACGTGCGCGTGAGGCGGCTAGAGCGCGTGCGCGAGGGTGTGGGGAGACGGGAGGGGCAGCCGTGGTCTTCCGGGGGGGAGGGGCGGCGAGGCGAGGCTTGTGTGGTGTGCGCGTGCCCGCGCGCGCGTGCGCGAGTGGCACGTGGGGCCCCTTCGTCCCTGGCGTCCGGGCGCCCCGTACCAGCCCCCCACCCCTGTCCTGGTCCCCCCGCGGCAGCCGGTGAGGAGACAGACCGAAACCCACCCCTGCCGCCGCCAGAGTCATGGCTCTGTTGATTACTTATGGGAAGTGTTGGAAACAGGGCCTTAAAAAAAGAATGGCGTCCATTTACATAATGCTTTGTTTGCATTTTGCAAGTTTCTTTCGGTAGAACCTACAGAAACCCCACCTCCTAGTGTCGTTTTAGTCGTGGCAGCCTCGTCAGACATTTAGAACAATGGTGTGCCCCTTTTGGGGCCGCATTTAGTCAGGGTTGACGACTAGTGCTTTAGGGAGTTCTTGCGATTTCCCCCACACCCTTCACTTTGCCGCTTCTGCCTTTCAGCCTTTCCCCCGTTTCCCCTTTTGGTGCAGCCGCCTCGCCCCGCTCCCCTCGGGGGCGGCCCCTGTTGGGCTCCGCCATCTTGGGAGGCCTTTCTTGCCGGTTCGCCACCGCACGTTCCTCTCGGCAAAGAAAGGTCGCTTGGGAGGCTCGTGTACGTTCATTTCTAGCCCTTTTTCTTTCTTTCGGCTAAGCCAGACAGTTTTAAACGCACTTAGACGGGTGCGCAACGTGCTTCAGGATACTTCAGGGAAAGCGGCTAACGTGGCGGTCCCTCCGCCCCCTTCCTTCCCCATGGGGTGGCCGCCATGTTTCCAGAACACAAAATGGCGACACGTGGCCTGGATTCGTCGCCAACGAGAAACTGGGGTCGACCCGAAAGCTCCAGAATGCCCACCCCCCCCAAACCCCGTGCTTGTTGGCCAGCGCCTTACCCTCGCATCTAGTACTCTGATCACTCTGGTCCAAGCCTAAGCTGTCGAATTTTAATGTGTGTCTCCCGTTAATTTGAAATGGGGAACTTTTATAACTAAAATGAAGGCGTGATGCCGAGTCTTTCATTAGTCTTAAGTTTAATAACGGGTAATGGGGGGCAGTACCAGTGGATAATTTGGGCCCCCAGTAGCAAAGCATTTAGGAATCACTGCTTTAAGAAGCAAGATGGGAATCTAACTGATTTCTTAGGCTTCTAGCACAGGCTGATGTATTGGAGACACTAAGAAATGGTCTTTAAAATTTTTTAGAATTTCCATGAAGCAATTTGGATACTTGTGGCCATTTTCAGAGGCTAGCTGGCCGGTGAACCTCAGTTTACCACAAATGGTGTTAACTTTTATCGTGGAGGGTTAGATGTTATTGTGGCTTTACCAGCATTAAATCCTGTGTTAGAGTTTTACTTCATACTATCTTTAATTTTTACAATGATCTGAGGTAGATGTTACCTCTCTCTCTCTCTCTCTCTTTTTTAAACAGACGAATTCATTTAGGCCCAGAGAGATGAAGTGACTAATTCAAGGTCATACAGTATGGAGGATGGATTCCAGACCTTCCGATTTCCTTGCTGGTGAGCACTTTTTCACATTTTTCTGTAAGTCAGGGTTTTAAAATTTAAGTGCTATTTGAATGTTTAGGTGAGCTTGTCATTTAAAAGAACCCCACAGGTAACCCTTTGGTGCATAGTCACCCCGTTTGTATCTTTTGGTGGTTTCCAGCTTCTCCTGGTGTGAATTACACCTTGGCTCAAATGCTGTTGTCTTAAATTAAAAAAAAATTTTTTATTTTTTTTATGAGATATCTGGGTGAGAATAGGGAGGGGGAAATGATTCATCCCTACCCAAGGGCTGAAGTTTCTGTCAGTCCAGCCTTGACTGTGGCACGTTTAAGTCTACCTGGCTCTGTGGGAGCAAGCAGTTCTCTGTGTGACTCACTTGCTTCCTTCAGCTACCCATGGGCATGACTTCCGCCTTCCTCACCCTAGTGTCCCAACCAAGTAAAAATAAATATTTTACTTTGGCACCACGCCTCCATTTCTCTCCTAATATTGACAGAGCATGACAGTGTTAAGTAAATCGTAGTCTGTGAATTCTTCAGTTCAATGTAACAAATAACTTGTAGGTCAAGCAAGGAATATGTGCCTGAACAGGGCTCTACTTGTGTGGATGTTAGAGATGGAAAGAAGGGCTTTTTGCTTCTTTTAACTTACATTAATGTCCTATATCATAGTTTTCAAAGTGCCTTTGCATTACCTTGTATAATTCTATAAACAACTTTAATTGGTGGGTACATTATAGCAACAATGGCAGTACTAGGATTAAGTGCTAACTTTGTGCCAGGCACTGTCTGAAGCTTTATTCTGTAATTTCAGTGGCTCTCACATTTTTTAAAAAGTTTATTTATTTTAAGAAAGAGCATTTGAGTGTGCACGTGAGCCCCTGAGCGGGATGTGAGTGTGGTGGGGGGGCAGAGAGAGAGGGAGGGAGAGAATCATAGGCAGACTTTGTGCTATTAGCATGGACCTGGACTCGATCTCACAAACCCAACCATGAAATTATGACCTGAGCCAAAATCAAGAGTTGGTCGCTTAACTGACTGAGCCACTGAAATCTCCCCGACCTTTTTTTTTTTTTTTTTTTTAAATTTTATTTTTAAGTAATCGCTCTACCCATTGTGGGGTTTGAACTCAGAAGCCCAAGATTGAGAGTAACATGCTCCACTGACTGAACCAGCCAGGCACTCCAGCAGTTTTAAAAGCAAGCCATCATAAGTGATACATTTTTACAGAATAACTCCTATATGCACAGGCATATGTAACAGAAACTAAATCTTTGCAAAAAAGTATTTATTCTTACTATATGTAGTGTACTTTGGTAATTTCTATTCTTTTACATGAAATAAAAAGGCACATCACAACTGAAGTGACAAACCATTATTAGGTTGTGACTAAAATGATTAATATACACATTTAATCCTCATAAAGCTCCTCAGATGGAGGTGATGTAATTTCTATTTTACAGGGATATAGAGAGGTGAAGGATTTTGTCTCAGGCCCAGTTATTAAAAAGGGAAATATGGATTTGAATCTGGGCGATCTGAGCTAGATGTGGTCTCTGCAGATGGCCTTGTCTTATAGGGCGACAGAGTTGTTTAGGGAATTTAAATTATTAGTAAATGTTACTAAGGCAACAAGAGAAATTCTATGTAATGAAAATTATATCCTGTTCAAAATACTCTGGTCTCTAGATCTGCCACATATTTATTTCCCCTAAAGAAAATTGTATACATGGGTCTTTCTTCCGAAGACTGCTTATTTTAAGCTTTCTGCCCGAAATTTTTATTAATTTCTTCTTATCTGAGTACTTCCCTGATTTTACTCACTTCTTCCTTCAATAAAGACTTCCCCTTCCCAGCTCTTAGCCTCCCTGTTTCCCCCAAAGTTCTACAGCTCCCACTCCCCCTATAGGCCACATTTAGCTGTTAATTAAATCATAGTGTGTGTTGGTGTTGATAGTGTGTTGTATAGGGCATAGGTGCCATGGATGACCCAGAGATCTGGTAAAGAGGGACTGGACTTGAGAATCTGTGGCTCTGGCCCCTAGCTCCAGCTCTGCCACTGTCTAACTTTGAGAAGTCTACAATGCAGTTCAAAACTAGGCTTTGATTTTCCCATCTGTAAGACAACAGATTAAATGATCTTTTCTAATTCTATCCAAGGAGTACGGATACTTGATGATCTTGGATATCTTGGGGGAGGGGGTGGATTATGTAACTATTTTACTCACTTAAGGTAAATTTTCCACTCCCTTCCTCAGACCTACACTATCTTGTGTATACATGAGTGAATTCCACACCACCCATTTTACAGATGAAGCCATTGAGATATGGAACAATTGACTAAATAGTCACTGCCCCACCTCTGGAGCCTCACACATGACTCTTCTCCCATTTGAATGACTGCAGGTTAGTTAAGGGGTTTAATGAGTTTGGGAAGGTGAGTCAGACTTAAACTTTGGAAATTGAACCACAGGATTTATATTCTATTCCGAGGAAGGATTTTTGCTTCCTTTTAACTCACATTGGCATGTTTATGGAATGTTTTAAAAGTGACTTCACGTTATTTACTAATCATCACAGACAGCCCTGCCAGGAAGGTATAAATATGCCTATTTTATGGAAGAGCTATCTATGGATCAGAGGAGTGAAGTGACTTGCCCAAGGTTACACAGCTTGTCAGGACCTGAGCTGGATCTCTTGACTTCTAGTTGTGAATTGTTCCTCTCTCCTTGGCTTTTGATGCTTGTTTCACAGACTTTTACACATGGATTAATTTTATCTTTAACTCAGAAAGCTTCCAATCCAGCCTTTATTTTTCTGCCCCGGAGCATCTTGTCCACTTATGTTAAGTTCCTGATCCTTTCGGTTTAAGAAAACTCTTTCCTCTTTTTCTCTAATGTCTACGTTTATGGGTTTGGGAAGTGGTGGGAATTATTCCCCAATGAGACTGTGGAGGCAGGAACCACATTTACCTCCCAATCTACCTTGTCCAGCAAATGTACTACAGTTTTTTAAATTTGCCTTATCAACATGCAGTTTTTAAAAAAAAAAAAAAAAAAAAAGTTTCTTTTTCTCTTTCAAATTTAGCTTCTTATATTTCTTTTATTTGAAATTATAGTAAATTGAGAGGATCTCTACCCTATCACTTTCTGGGATATTATAAAGTATAGCCTATGAAATACTTCTTACCCACTTTGTGGAGAGGAACAATAGTAATAATAATCTCATATACTGGTGACCCTGTGCTACCGTTGCGGGGTTACTACTGAGTTTCCTCAAAAACATAAGAAATATATTGGTGTGCCTTTCAAAAGTGACCAGGAAATACAGCAACATCCTTGGTCTAAGTTCTCCCAGTTGGGGAAAGCAAGGCCTGTGGATTCCCAAGGGTTACTCTGACTGAAATAAGGCATGGAGAAGGGAGTGGAGAGAAAAGTTAAAGGAAAAATGAGAACAGTACAAATGTAAAATATAGAAAATGAGGAAGGAAAAGAGAAAAGACAAGGGCAGAGAGAAGAAGAGGAACCAAGATCAGTGGAAGGGATCAGTGGAAGAGAACAATTCAGAGGTGCCTTTGCCCCTCATATGCTGTGGGAAGCATAGGCTGCTTTCTTGCACCAGGAAAGAGCAGCTGGCATGAGAACTCCTGAACTGATCTGAAGCACCACGTCTCTTTTTTATCCTCTTTTTTTGATATCAAGTAGGGAAAATTTCTTTGTTTTTACTATCAGCTGGGGATATGATTAGATACGAGTAGTTTTAGTATTAGTCTCAGTCTAATTGGTTTATCAAGGAAAATGTGCTATAAAAATCATAAAATATTCCAGGTCAAATTTTGTCTTAATCATTCAATCAGCAAAATTTTTTTTCAATTATTACTATTTTTATGTTTTACTTATTTATTTATTTTTTTAATGTTTTATTTATTTCTAGGAGAGAGAGAGAGAGAGACAGTGTGAGTAGAGGAGGGTCAGAGAGAGAGGGAGTCACAGACTCTGAAACAAGCTCCAGGCTCTGAGCTGGCAGTCAGCACGGAGCCCGACGCGGGGCTCGAACCCACGAATCGCGAGATCATGACCTAAGCGAAAGTCGGACGCTTAACCGACTAAGCCACCCAGGCGCCCCTACTATTTTTAAATTTAACTTTACTCTCAGTGTGGGGCTTGAATTCACTACCCCAAGATCAAGAGTTGCATGTTATACCAACTGAGCCAGCCAAGCACCCCAGTTAGCAAATGCTTATTGATTGCTTGGTATGTCCCATACACTAAAGCTATAAAAATGAATGAGATTTTGTTCTTTGCCCTCAAGATGTTTATGATATGGAGAGGGACACTGACAAGTAAACAGATTTGCAGTAGAATCCTTTAAGGTATTAGGATATGAAAAAGCAGAGGATGCTATGGGCTTAGAAGAGGGCCCTTAATTCACCCTAGGAGGGGATTCAGAAAGACTACCTAGCGAAGTTGATATTTAGGCTGAGTCCCAAGTTGGCAGATTACAAGGTGGAGGGCAGGAAAGGGTAACTCCAGGCAGGGAAGCAAAGGCCCAAAGGCAGAGAGTGCATAGTCTATTTAGAAGTTGAAGCCATTTCAGGAAGCTATGAAGGATGTTTGCATGATCCAGTTTTTGGTGATTGTTGTTCTGCTTCAGAAGTGTACATTATTGAGATTTGATTATGCTTACTAGAGCACAGAGAGTCTAAATCCTTATTTTGTAGCAGTAATTCTCTTTTAAGATGAAGATATCAGAGGGGCATCTGGATGGCTCAGTCAGTTAAGCCTCCAATTTCGGCTCAGGTCACGATCTCACAGTTCATGAGTACAAGCCCTGCATCAGGCTCTGTGCAGACAGTTCAGAGCCTGGAGCCTGCTTCAGATTCTGTGTCTCTCTCTCTCCCTCCCTGCTTACATACACTCTCTCTCTCGAAAATAAATAAACATTAAAAAAAATTTTAAAGATGAAGGTATTAGAAATTGTACTTTTGGTCTAGAGATTGTAAGGAGAAAATGC